AGAGAGCCCTGGGTGAAGCTTTCATCCTCCTAAGACTCTCCAGCCTGAGGAACCAGAGAGGGGGCAGGAGCTGCCCTGAGCTGGCCAGGACAAGAGGGGGCCAAGCTTCCGGGGAGCATGCCCTCTACCCCCTCCCCCCAGCCCTAGCCCCTGGAGCAGCTGCCCTGAGTGCAATCCCCAAGGGACCCAGGCTAAGGGAGATGGGAAATGAGCATTTATGTAGCACCTACCATGTGCTAGACCATGCTAATTATTACCTCACCTGGTCCTTACAACAGGGTTAAGTGACTTGCTCAAGGTCACACAGCTAGTGAGTATCTGAAGTTGGATTTGGACCCAGGTCTTTCTGTCTCCAGGCCCCGTACCAGCTGCCTGGCCCAGGTCCCCATACCCTAAGGAGTGCGTGTGTATGTGTGTGTGCACGTGCACGTACACACACACACACACATACCCCACCTACTGCAGACAGACACTAGGCTGCTCTGGGCTGGCCAGATGGCAGAGGAGGATGGTAGGACGGAGAGAGAGGCCCAAAGCCGGCGGCTTTCTCCCTAATGGCTGACCAAGGGAAGCACCTCGGTGTTCCCAGAGTGTCACTGACCATGAGTGATGACAGCAAGAAGGCCAGTGATGGTGGCTGGTGGCACGGGGAGGAGGAAGGGTGCCCAGGAGCCAGCCACGATGACCGATCCCATGCAGAACTCCTTCTCCACAAAGGGCTGTCCACAAATGCTGGGCCTCCAGGAATTAGCTAGAAGTCTTGGGGTCCCCATGAGACCCCCAGGCTGCTCTGCGGTCTCTGGCCTTCCCCCAGCTCCAGAAATAAGTAACCCCCTTCCCCGGCCCCTAGAGACATGGTGGAGCCCAGGGCCCCCGGAGAACTCATCCCTCTAGCCCGGGCACCCCTTGGGCATCGGAGGGTCACAACACGGGTCACACCAGGAGTGCCATCATTGCCCCCCAGTCCCCTCGGTGGAAACAAAGCCCTGGGCTGGGGCTGGGCGTCCCTGGGAGACCCTTGGGGGATCCAGCAGCTGCCTGGCCTGGGGGCTGGCCTTCACAGCTTCCAGTCCCTGGCCCTGCTAGCTGCCTAATAGCTTAATGACCGGGTTTATGGAAGCCTTTCTCCTTTCTCTGACCCAGATCAAAGATTTGAGTGAGGGGGCCCTGTCTCTTCTCCAGCTCAGGCAGGAAGGAAGGGATTACTCTGGGGCCTGGGCAGTAGGGCCTGCCCAGGAGGGGCCTGGGGATGTTCTAAGGCAAAGCCTGGGAAAGGGGGAGGATCAAAGGTCTTTTGTCTTTTTTTTGTCTTTTGTCCAGGGCTTAAAACACATCCATTCAAGCCGGGGCATTTGCACTGACCCTGTCCATACCCGCTGGTGACGCTGCCCCTTCCCCAAGCTCAGGCTACGACCAGGTGCAGTGGGAGGAGCTGGTCCCATCCTCCCCTGAATCCTGAGCCTGCCCAAGGAACATGGCTGGCACTGGGCGCCCGACGGGGGCTGCTGATCAAGACAGCCCCCTGCCTCACTTGCGTCTCAGCAGAACCTTCCCAACATGGAGGAGAAGTGAAAGTGAGAAAGGATGGCCTTCCTGAACCTGCACCATGCCCAGGGTCTTGGTGGTCCCGGTGTGGTGACAGTTCTCCCTGGGGGGCCGTGGTGCTTGGAGCTCGGCAGGATTGCCAAGGACAGAGAGGGGCCTTGGCCTTGCCATCCCACAGCCTGCTGGGAGCTTTGGGAGGCCCGCTCCCACCCCCGTCTTGTCCTTGGTGGTGGGACTGCAGCTCAGAGTAGAGAGGGTCAGGGCTCTCCTTGCATCTCCCCATAGGCCAGTTCCTTCTCTGCCTATAAATGGTGTTCTGGTCGCTGGCACCCCTGCTCTACCCCACGCTGACACAGCCCCCTTTCTCTTCTGTCTTCAGCGCCAAACCTCTGACATGAGATATCTAGACCCACCGCCTCAGCTTCCCCACCTGCCCCTCAGTCCCTATCCCCTCATCTGTGACTGGGAGAGTGAGATTGCTCCCTGGGCTGCCTGGGGGCTCGGGAGCCCTACAGCTGCCTTGCAAGCATCGATAATCAGCGAATCAGTCCCCATCGAGGGGCTGCAGCAGCAGAGACTCCAGGCAGCCGGGCCCCCTTCCACTGTCCCAGGGGGCAGACTCCAGGGTGGCTGGGCAGGGGGTTTAGGGAGTCCCCCTGCTCTCACTGGCCAGGTTTTTTCCAGTTATTAAAGGGCATTGAGTGAGGCCAGAGCAGCTACCCCAGGCTGCAGGAGGAACTATCCCTGGAAACGCTACGGATTATCCAACAGAGGGGCCCCTGAGATCGTTGGAGGCCCCGTCTCATTTGGAGACAGCCCAGAAAGGTTCCCTGATTCAATCGTGTAGAAACAATGGTTGAGAAATCATCCCGGGGCCAACAAGGCAGTGCCACCCCCCCACCCCCGCAATCCCCATCTTCTTCTGTTCCCTCGGTTTCCCTCCCGGCCCTGCTGAAGAGGGTTTTCCTGCAGCTGGCTTGCGCTCTGGGAAAGCCTGAGAAGGGAGACCAGAGCCCAGACCCAGAGCTGCATCCTGACCTGGGACAGGTAACTTTCGACCCTCCAGCCAGGATGTGTAACTAGGGTGGGGCATCCGGAACTCTGCCCCAGGGCAGCACCACCTGAGGTCTGCTTCCTCCCTGGGGAGGGTTTCTGCTGGCCTGCATGGCTCCACTACTCCCCCTCCTCCCCTGGCCCTGAGCTGCTGCCACCACCACCACCCTCAGGGATCCATCTCCACAGATCCCCTTTGTTGGGGAATCTTACAGAAGGGGTGATTTAGCTGAGGGGCAGGGAGGGAGGCTGTTAGGGAAGACCAGAGGATGAATGTCACTTGTCCCAAAGGCTGGCAGCTCAGCTCCTTGTTAGCAGATGTTCTGGGGGTCGCTGTTAGCATCTGAGAATTCCTGATTCTATGGTTTCAGGGGCTCTCATGCACTCTGCAAACCCAGGTGGGCCTCCCAGCAGTGCCTCAGTGGGGACGAGATCATGTTGGGACCAGGGCATGCCAACAGCAGTGCCCAGCGGGTCCTGGCAGCTTGACCTCATGCCCTGGGCCACGGCTGCCGTGGGGAGCATGCCCGACTGTAAGAGCTAACCGGTATCTGTTCTCAGATCTCGGAGCAGCCGGGTGGCAGGGAGGACATTGACCCGGGGCCAGTCCCTGGCAATGCTCTCGCCCAACACTCCCAGCCCAGGGGACGTGGAGGTGTCCTGAGCGGGATGCCCCTCTTTGCTTCCTCACAAGGCCAGTGAGCCAGTGGCGGGAATCTGGGCAGCCTTCCCACATCGGGGTCAGTGTCTCGCTGTGTCCCCCCACCTCGGACCTTGGGCCTCCAGGACTCAGAGTCAGCAGCTCAGAGGCACTGGGGCCTCAGTGTGCCCACAGCTCCGGGGCCAGCCCCGGGCACGTCCCCAAGCGGGAGCCTGCAAAGGCAGCCATTATCGCAGGGAGCTCCCTCTAGGCTGGACCACAGCAAACTATCACCGGTGAACTGGCCGAAGAACCCTGCAGCCCAAGTGCAGAAACAAAGCCCAAGGGCTTTGTGGCTATGGAGTCAGGGGACTTTGTGCCAGTCAGCCCAATTCTCTGTGCCTTGTAAAAAAGAGACACGATGCTTACTGCGCCAGGCTTCCCGGGATCCTGGGAGGCTCCTGGTGGGAATTATGAGGGCCCCGCTGAGGCAGAGAGGCGACTTCCTCACAGTTAGAGCCGCCCCTGAAGGGGCCAGACTGGCCTGGGGCCGTAGGCTCTCCCTCCAGGGCCAGGATGACTGTCTGAGATGAGACAAGTGGGCTGCACCCCTGAGAGTACCTGCTCCAAGGGCAGGTCCTGGGGCGGACTGGACTTTGTGACTCACAGGCCCGCAGATCCGGGGTCAGGTGAGTACGGGAGGGGATGAAAAGGAGAAAAACCAGAAGGCCTCTCGTCCTGGGCCCAGGCAGCTGGGAGCTGACCTCAGGAAGCTGAGACTCAGAAGGATGAGAAGGGAGCAGGAGGGAAGGGATCTCCTCTCACCTCCCGCCACCCATCCTGTGTACCCAGATACCCTGAGCCGAGCAGCCCAGGATTCTGGGAACTGAGGAAGGAACAGTCCTCGAGGCCTGAGCCAGGAGGGAAGGGACCCAGCCAGTTCCAAGGCTCTGGAAGCTCTGGAGAGCAGGAAAATCAAGCACATTCAGACCCCAGGGAGGTCTGGTCACTACAGGGAGAGAGGAAGAGTCCTGAGGAGGAGCCCCCGGTGAAATCATGACCTTGGAGAGCCGAGGCTCCACCACCTCCTGGGGTGAGGGGTCCAAGGTCAGGTTTGGGGCAGAACCCAGAAGGAGCCCAGAAACTCTTCAGGACTCCCAGCAGTGTGAGCTCCCAAGGCGCTGAGGACTGTGGTCTGGAAGGACCTTCGGAGAAGGTCTGGCCCACGGGCTACAGAGGAGGGAATGAGCCCAAGGAGGTTGGGTGATTTGCCCAAAGGGCACAGATGGTAAGGGTCAGAGGAGGGGCTTGAATACAGACCCCAGCTCCTAGCCAGTGAGTGCTGGCAAAGAACCCGGGGGCTCATGTTCTCCTTGCTCAGAAGGGTTTTCTGGGGGGTGGCTGCAGACCTGCCATGGACCACAGCCCTGACCGGAGGTTGGGGGGCTCCCCACACTGAAGGTGGTGCCCAGCCCCCACCTCGTCACGTGCACCCTCTTTCCTTGCCATCCGTGCCTCATCTTCCCTACTAGAATGGAAGTTTCTTGAAGGTAGGGGCTTTGTTGGTGTTTTTCTTCCTAGCCCTCAGCGCATGCTAAGAGCTTGATAAAGGCTTTTTGAGAGACTGATAGACCCAGGACAGCCCAGCCGGAGGGAAGAAGCGTCTCAGAGAGTGTCCTGACCCAAGAACTGGGAAGAAGGGCAGCGCTGGGGCCAAAATGTAGCACTTCATCACCATGCTCCCAGACATCTCCCAAGGCTCCACCCCACCTTTCCAGCCACAGCCCACATCATCTCATCTTGAGCATTCCGGAAAAACTGGCCAGTCCCTCAACTCAGGGTTGCATCTTCTGTGCCTCCACACCTTTGCCCATATCATCCCCCATGCCAGGATTACACTCACTTCTTATATCTGCCATATGGAACTCTTCTCTCCCTTCAAGGCCCAGCTCAGATGCTACCTCCTCAGCGAAGCCTTCCATGATTTCCTGCAGGTACAAGGAAGTGTCCCTTTCCTCCTCAAATATCTCCAAAGCACTTGACCTGGCTTTCAGACGTCCCTGTGAGATCCTACCTGGTCATGGGGAGCCTTGAAGGAAGATAAAGATTTGTAGAGGTGAGGCATGGGCGCATTCCAGGCATGGGGGTGGGGTGGGCAGTTTGGGCAGCACCTTGTAATGTGGTTTGGCTTGGCTGGCACATAGAGTGGGTGAGGGGTGGTGTGTACAATAGGCCAGGAAAGGTAAGTTGGGATCAGATCACAAAGGGCCTTGAATGCCAGGCTGGGGTTTGGGGTTTTATAGGCCATAGGGAGTCAGTGAAGGATCAAACAGGGCAGTGCCATGATGAGGTCTGGACCATCGTGAGAAGATTATTTGATAGCTGTGGGAAAGATGACTTTTGGGATGGGGCTGGGGTGAGAAGAGTGTGGAGGGAGGACGACCAGGCAGGCGGCTTTTTGGTAGCTGGGTAGCCAGGGGTGATGAGCCACGTTCTTTGGCCACCACCCAAGCCCCTTTCCTCGCTGATGGGCTTGTCTGGGCTATTTAAGCCTCCGAGGCTGCTGGGACCTGGCGGCCTGTGGGCATCTCCAGATCCCGCGCACAGTAAGGGAGGGAGTGCTGGCCGGGGCCCTCTGGTCAGCTGTTGCTAGGAGGGTTGTGGCAGTGACCAGAGAAGACCCACAGGGCACAGGGGAGGCTCAGAGACTGTGGAGAGGCTTCCTGCCCAAAGTCTGACCCCAGCGGGCAAGGCCGGTTTGGGCTGAGTGAGTGCTTTTTCCCATTCTGTTTCTCAAGGTGTTTTTATACCGGAGACGCACCTGCTTCCTTGGCTGGATGCCATCTGAATCCAGCCTGTGGGGACAGAGGTGACAGGGCTGGGAGAGGAAAAAGCTAGGTAAACTGGCCAGATCCAGACGTCCTCTGGTGGTCGGAGGGAGGGAGGGCCCTTCCACCTTGGGCCTCTAGCTGGAGCCCAGATCTCCCTCACAGGCCCGTCTCTTGGGACCTTCCTGAGGACGAGCCAAGTCAGAGCTCGCTGGCACCTCGGCACCTCGGCCCCGAGACCAGATTTTTAAGTCTTTCTGCTCCTTTTACTTGAAACGACAAGGGAGCCCGCTCAGGGGACAGAGTCCGACCTCTAGAGTCAGAGGAGCTGGGTTCAGATCCCAGCTCAGCCCCTCACTGTCTGCATGATCCTGGGCGTGCAGCTGTGCAAAATATTTCCTTATTGTCATTTTGTACAAGAAGACTCGAATGAAAGAAAAAAATGGAAGAAAGTGGAAAGCAGCCTGCTTGGGTTCTTTCTCCAGAGGCGGACGGCCGGCTTTGTCATGAGGCCTCTGGGATTGTCTGAGGTCATTGTATTGCAGTGCTGAGAAGAGCCGAGCCATTTACGGCGTTTCATCAAACGATATTGCTGTGACTGTCTACACCATTCTCCTGGTGCTGCTCACTTACCTATGCATCAGCTCATGTAAGTCTTTTCTGAAATTGTCCTGCTTGTCATTTCTTTCCAAACAATAGTATTCCATTACAATCATAGACCACAGCTCGTTCAGCCATTCCCCGACTGATGGGCATCCCCTCGATTTCCAG